ATGTGTATCCTGATCGCATAATGTGTGTTGCTCAAATACCATGGCCTTCGAAGAAATGTATCAATAATATATACATTTATACACACTTATGCTGCCAAGGGTATCTATCGTCTGTGATTAGTGTCGGAACTATGAGTAAAGTGTACGAAAAGTACATATCAGCAATCAAGACAAGCTGAATCGACATTTGTGTGTAATTTGTTTATGCAAACGAGAGAGCTTGGAAGCTCAGGGCCCTACGCTATGCTTTTTTTGCCTTGATGACCTAGACAAAAAAAGCATAGGGATGTTATAAATTCTTTACAAAAATCCTTTTTTTTTAAAGACATAACCTGGGATTCGAACCCGCACTATCGCGCGCCCTGCATGCATCCCCCGATACACTTCGCACACATACTAATCAGGGAGTCGTAAAATACCGGTATTTTACGACTCCCTGATACTAATTCTTCCAAATTGTTTCACATTGTGATCTGACGGCACAAAAGCATAGGATGTTATAAATTTTTCAATTCTCCTATTTTTTTTTCAGGCATATCCTGGGATTCGAACCCGCACTATCGCCCTACGTAGCTACGTGCATTGCCCCTTACACTTCGCATTCATACCCATTCTTCCAAGTTGTTTCACATTGTTATCTTGCATTTGAAAGCCCTATTTGAATTTGCATTGTGGCCAGCCGTCTTTGATGGCACGGTACGGTAGGGGATAGGTACGGGACAGGTACGATTTTTTTTTTTTTTGAATCGTCACAACTCTTTATTGCACGCAGAAAAATAATAAGGCACCCATTTTGATAGTCCAGGGGATGGCCCACGCCTGGTAAAAAGAATAAACAGAAAAAGAAAAAGAAAAAAAGAAAATAATAAGGCACCCATTTTGATAATCCAGGGTACCGGGATGGCCCACGCCTGGTAAAAAGAATAAAATAGAAAAGAATCATGACAAGTACATGACTAGACCTCTAGACAAAAATGTACATGTCTGACTTTAGTTCAACAGTCCTGCAAGGAAACACGTGCCTCGGCTACCACTACAGACGCGGGGTCCCTGGTGACACGGTGTGCGGATGATTTTTTTTTTTTTTTACTAAAAAACACAGCCCTACTAATAATCAGGGGAAGAGGACAACTGAAATGACGCTGGACAACAAGACAAAGGGGAGTAGGGGCGATGTGCCGATGTGGTTGGCGAGGCTCATCCGACCGGAGGTCTCGGAATCATAGCCTACGACCAGGCATCGTTAGGAATGCAGCTAGGGAGGGAGGGAGATCAAGTGAGAAAGAGAGAGAGAGAGAGAGAGAGAGAGAGAGAGAGAGAGAGAGAGAGAGAGAGAGAGAGAGAGAGAGAGAGAGAGAGAGAGAGAGAGAGAGAGAGAGAGAGAGAGAGAGAGAGAGAGAGAGAGAGAGAGAGAGAGAGAGAGAGAGAGAGAGAGAGAGAGAGAGAGAGAGAGAGGGAGGAGAGAGAGAGGGAGAGAGAGAGGGAGAGAGAGAGAGAGAGAGAGACAGAGGAGAGAGAGAGAGAGAGACAGAGAGAGAGAGAGAGAGAGAGAGAGAGAGAGAGGGGGGGGAGAGGGAGGGAGAGAGAGAGAGAGAGAGAGAGAGAGAGAGAGAGAGAGAGAGAGAGAAGAGAGAGAGAGAGAGAGAGAGAGAGAGAGAGGGGGGAGAGGGAGGGAGAGAGAGAGAGAGAGAGAGAGAGAGAGGGGGGGGGAGAGGGAGGGAGAGAGAGAGAGAGAGAGAGAGAGAGAGAGAGAGAGAGAGAGAGAGAGAGAGAGAGAGAGAGAGAGAGAGAGAGAGAGAGAGAGAGAGAGAGAGAGAGAGAGAGAGAGAGAGAGAGAGAGAGAGAGAGAGAGAGAGAGAGAGAGAGAGAGAGAGAGAGAGAGAGAGAGAGAGAGAGAGAGAGAGAGAGAGAGAGAGAGAGAGAGAGAGAGAGAGAGAGAGGAGAGAGAGAGAGAGAAATTAAATAAATAAAATAAAACAAGAAAGAGATGAGAAGAGAAATAAAACAAGAAAGAGATGAGAAGAGAAATAAAACAAGAAAGAGATGAGAAGAGAAATAAAACAAGAAAGATGAGAAGAGAAATAAAACAAGAAAGAGATGAGAAGAGAAATAAAATAAAACAAGAAAGAGATGAGAAGAGAAATAAATATAAAACAAGAAAGAGATGATGGACAAGGGTAGTTGCTCATTGACGGGTGCATAGCCTCACAGGGAGTCCGTAGCCCAAAGCCAATTCTTTTGACGCAAGTGGCGATGGACCTTCGTCTTGAAGGATTGGAGAGACTTCAACTGGGCATCGGATCCGGAAACATGTCTTGCGGAAGCCTGTTCCATTCATCCACTACACCATATGGGAACGAGCTCTGGAGAAAGTTGGGGGCCGTAGGGAGGAGCACTGCTTGTAGCTGATGCTGGTGGCGGACACGGAGCTGCGACCTTGTCCGCGGGACGAGGCTAGCTTCCTGGCGAGGCGGCACGAGCGCAGAGAGATCTGGATGGTCTTGAAGGCACATTAGCTTGTACATGTACGTGAGAGCGTACACTTGGCGGCGGGCAGCTAGGCTCTGCAGCAAGGCGTCAGGACCAATGATAGCAAGGGCCTTCCGCTGTACTCGGTCGAGACTTTGCAGGTGAGAGTTGGCTGCGCCCATCCATGTCAATGGTGCGTATTCGAGTACAGGGCGTACGAAGCCTCTGTACGTTGTCAAGCCAAGTGTCAAGCGTCCTTCACGACCAAGGAAACTTGATGCTCGACGCAGAAATCCTAGTCGGGCTACGGCACGAAGAGAAACATTGCGGAGGTGGCGTCTGAAGGTGAGTTTGCTGTCGAAGGTCACTCCCAGAAGCTTCAGCTCGTCCCCACAGGGAATATCATGGGCTCCGAACGTTAGGTCTGGGAGTGGCCAGGGGTTGCGGTGGTGGCCAATATGCAGCAGCTGCGACTTTGTCGGCTCAAAGCGAATTCGCCATTGTTCTCCCCAGCTACTCAATCGATCCAGGCTAGATTGCATGTCTGCAATACTGATCTTGCCCCACGAAGGCACATCACGCTAGCTCGGACTAATGCAAAGCTTAGCTTGCAGCGAAGCCATGCCATCGTCACGGAGTACGGCTCCTTCAGCTTGTCAGATAGCATGCTGGCAAGACGCTTGAACAGGGCCGATGCACACTTGCTAGTGCCACCAGTGGCTGACAGCACTACTGGCACGAACGTGGCGCGGTCAACCTCAAGCAGACGCTGCTCATATCTCCGGCGTTTCTCCTTTTCATGACGTGCATACACTGAGGAAACTGAGGCAGCGCGATTTGAGGCAGCGTAGGGGTTGAAAACCCTTATATCAAGAAAGGTGCGCTCAAATCGGCCACCCCAGATTCCGTTGGCGGCAACATCAAGACGAGCCTGATCAGCGGTCGTTGTGGACAGAAGCCGGAATTTCTCTCCGGTGACTGGCTGCAGCATCGGTTCTGTGCACACACCATGCGTGACCTGACGCAGAACATCAGCCGTGAGGTCTCGAATTTCATTGTGTCGAATACTGGGGAATCCCCCAGTACTGCAGGACAAAGCATGGGTGACGTCAAAGTTACCGTGGCCACAGACGCATCCTGATGGCAGGCGTGCTGGTGTCCACCCGTACCGGAGACAGAGGGCATCGCGAAACTCCGCCTTGGACAAACGAAATCCATGGATGGCTAGAGGGCGGCAAGTCAGCCAGCTGGAGGCCCCCTTCTCCGAAGCTAGGGTCAATTGCAGCTCAAGCTCTGCTCCAGCACCATCCTTGAAAGACTTCACGGCTGCCAGGAGGTTGGTTCGCAAAGTCGTACGTACCTCTGCCTTCCGGACAGGTACGATCGAGGGTAATACGACACCGTCTCCCGTACCGTACCATCAAACACAGCTGGCCACATACAGCTGCCCGCAATATTCAAATAGGGCTTTCAAACGCAAGTTCATACATGTCACGTGCCTGTTGGCAGGCCGTTGCTAGCATTTGGCCAATCAGAGCAGCACCGTACCAGGGCACTATCAGACGATAATGCCCGGGTACGGCGTACCCATGCCCATTAGGAATGACCCCAGGCGTACTACGTACGCTCACTTCTTGCCTTTATTAGGTCAAGGGTTTCCTTTTCTCTTGTTCGTGCCTCCAATGCCAGCCTCCGTGGTCACCGCAGGCCACGGTCTCAGGATGCCCGCCAGAGAGTCATTGACTCTGATGCTTCTGTGGTCCTTGCTGCTGCAGAGTGCTTTCGGTAACTATCCGTGGTGTGTTTGGCTACTGTTCTGCTTCAGTACCCCCCCCCCCCCCTTTTTCATGATTTTGCATGTTATCGTTTTCTCGGATTCCGGTTTTCCACTCTGTTATGTTCGAATCCATAGTCTGTTTAGTCTGTACACGATTTGTACGCTACTTCTCATTGTTTTTTTTTTGGTTTTTTTTGTTTTTGTTTTTTTTACCAGGCGTGGGCCATCCCCTGATCATACATGTAGGTGCCAAAAGCTGACCATGAAAAAAAAAAAAAAAACTACGTATGCTGGTGCACTGCCAAATATGCACCAAGCCATGCCTTTTGGGCAGTGACCTGCAACATAATTGGCAGCACTCCAGCGCACATAGAACACGTGGGACCATTCCTAAGGACACCACATGCACTCGCACACACCACACAAAACGAAACTACTTACGTGCACCGTCCAAAACAATTATATTTTACGAGGAATGTTGACATAGGAGAAGTAATTTATAACAACGTGACAATAACACACAGCATGTCACTACATGCATTACATGCATTACTAAATTCAAGTCAATTGAGACGAACAAGTCGACAGGTTGTTTGGTTTGAGAGACGGGTGACTCTTCTCTCCATCTCCTGCTTCTTGCTGGGGATGATATTGGTCTAAACGTTCAACGGACAGAGTCGGTAACGGACAGAGTCGGTAACGGACAGAGTCGGTAACGGACAGAGTCGGTAACGGACAGAGTCGGTAACGGACAATGAGTGGGAATAGAGGTTTCAAAGGCCTGAATAAATTCAACTTGGCCTGCTTCAATGTGCGTGGACTAAGTTCTCGGAGTAAACAACACCAAATTATCGAGGACGCGAAAAACTACAAGCTGGACGTTTGCTGCTTGCAGGAGACGAAAGCGCCGGAGGGGGTCGACTATTGTCAGGACGGCTACCGCTTGCTGCTGCTTCCTTCAACGAGCCGTCACTACGGGCTCGGTTTCGTTGTGTCACGGCGTCTGTCGGACAAATTTGTTCGTCACTGGGTGGTTTCCGACCGAGTCGCAGTAGCGCAATTCAAAGTAGCTAAAAGCGTCATTTCCGTAGTGAACGTCTACGCGCCGACGTCGGGACTTGTTGCGACGTCGCATGACTATTTGGAGGAGTTTTACGACAGTCTTGAGAGGGCGCTCACAGATATTGAATCGTCATCCAGTCTACTGTTTGTAGCTGGGGATTTTAACGCTAAACTGGGCAGACCTAGTACAGCATTCGGCTGCATTGGCCAGCATGGACGCGGACGACGAAACTACACTGGTCTTGCTTTGGCAGAATTCTGTGGGTCCCATCAACTATTTGCTGCCAACACAGCTTTTCAGCACAGAGCATGTCATACCACAACATGGTCAATGACTCGGAGATTAGCATCAGGAATCACGGTCAAGGTGTATAATCAAATCGATTTCGTACTGTGCCAAAATTCCCAGAAGAGCCTTCTTCTGAATGCACGGTCATATGCTGGAACGTCTACCTGTAGCGATCACCGCTTGGTGATTGCAACCTTTGACCTACCAAAATTCTACGTCCTAACGTCACCGAGAAAGCATACCCCGCAAGACAGTCGGAAGAAAATGGATGTGCAGCAGTTGACAGCCAGCGCAGAGAGAAGACAGCGCTATCGGGACCAAGTTGAAAAGCATGTTACAACACTACCTCCCCTGGAGAAGGATGTAGTGGAATGATGGCAAAGCCCCTGTGACCCAACCCAAGCGGCCACACAACCAAGACGTTTTATTTAGCTTACATTTGTCTACAAGGAAAAAAGAGAACTGAAAAAAAAGCCATGATCTCGGAACTACTCGTAGTAGTAGTAGTACTGCTTGACCTAAACCGGAACTAAATCGTACCCGCACGGTACGCAGCGCAGACTGCACGTACAGCAGAACATAACCATGATAACGCGACGCAGCTTGGAAAGCCAGCTAGCTAGCTATGTATGAAACAACGGACCGCAAGCATGACAGCGGGAAATGCAAAGGGCCAGTCGGCAACAGTACACAATGACGATTTATGCTATTGGGTATCATTCATGGCTAGACCTAACACTGTATGCACGTGACATGTCGCCAAGTTATTGTTCTAACCAGAGGAGTAATTGTCACCTTCAGCAGCATGGATCTAAGAGTAAGACTAAGACTGTATTCATCATCACACCTCCACCAGGTGACAAGTCTCTTTACGAGCAAAGACCGGAATACACTCGAAACGCTGTGAAAGGAAAAACCTATAGCATTTAGGAACACAACCTAGAATAATAGAACCACAGAACAAATGAACTACTGCACACCATCAGCTCCACACTCACGGAGCATACCTCCTTGGGGCTCTCAATGTATCTCGATTCCGGAGGCTTCGTCCAACTGGCTGATCATCTTCAGCAATCGGCAGGTCAAAGGCAATGGGCAGTTCGCCATTGCTGCTAGAACTGGCCTCCACCTGGTCGACTTCCGTTGACTCTGACTCAGCCTCGCCTGGATCCATCTTCAACAGATCAACATTCACGATCTTCGTGCCACCGCGACCGTGCGCAACGACGACCGTTGAGGATGCCACCACTGCCTCGACCACCCAACCACGCTCGTAGGGAGGCTGGCGCTTCTGCCGTCGGTCCTGGCGTCGCAACAGTACTGGATCTCCGGGCTGATAGGGACAAGCGACACGAGATCTCGATTCATCGATGGAGTCAGCTTGCGATAACTGGCCGTCTAAATAATCCCACACCCGGGCCGTCTGCATCTTCAGCTTGTCCACCCAAGCGCTCTCAGATAGCTCGCTGCCGGACCTCTCCACCACCAGGCGCTTCGGCTTCCAGCCATACATCGCCTCGGCCGGGCTGATTCGAGTGACACTATGCGGGCGTACACGGTACTTGAATAGCAGCAGATCAAGAGCCGCTTTCCAATCATCCTCTTCCTCCAACACCTTCCGAATCAAAGTGAGGAGCGTACGATTGAACCTCTCTACCGTGCCTTGACTCTGCGGGTGACGAACTGCACCATGCTGCACTCGAACTCCAAACGCCGCAAACAAAGCCGACATGATAGCGTTGACAAACTCGGTGCCGTTGTCGCAGCGCACAATCTCTGGTGGGCCCCACCGGGCACAGATGGACAGAAAGGCATCAGCAACACTTCGTGCATCGTGCCGGGGCAACGGAACGACTTCAGTCCATTTGGTAAATGCGTCCACACACACCAGGACGCAGTGGAACCTGCCATCACGACTGCCGCCGAGCTCCATGGTGTCGATGAACACGGTGTTCCACGGACCAGATGGCATGGCAGACCTCGTAGCTGGAACACTCTCGCCACGCTGCGGACTGGCAACAGCACAGGCCTGACACTTGCCAACAAAGTCCTGGCACTTTGCTGCCATTGAGGGAAAGAAGCACCGGCATTGCAGAAACCGCCAGGTTCCCTCCCAACCGGCGTGTCCAGTCTGAAGATGGGCTGCGCGCAACACTCTCTCCTCCAGAGACTCTGGGACTACTGGAACGACTTCTTCTTCACCAGTCGGCACCTTGAAGCTCCTCATCAGGACACCGTCGACAACACAGAGTTGATTCTGGATCTTCTTGTAGCCAGCAGCGACAACTTCCTGTTCAGCTGTCTTCGCTGCAATCACCGCTGTGATGGCCGCATCACTTTCCTGTTCGCTGGCTATCTCTTGGAGCGACACAGGGCCAAGAGCAGATGGATCGATGCAGGCACCAGACACGCCGACGTCAAACTCGCCGACGCCTGACTGACCTTTCCAGTACTGGACGAGCTTCTCAGGAACTCTAGTCAGCTCGTCTGCCTTGTTGCTGGCAGATGGAACCCACTCCAGATCAACGCTGAGGTCAGCCGCTTTGATCAAGTCATCGATGATTTGGAGTCGCCGGTGAACCACCACCTTGTTCAGCCCACTGACTTTGATTCGCTTCAAGTGGCCGAAAAGCGAGCTCAGCCAGCCATGAACGGTCTTGGAGTCGGTCAAGACCTTCACCTTGCGCACATTCCACTCAACCGCCAAACTCAGGCCCTTGATGACCGCCTCGAGCTCTGATAGGTTGATGTGGCGAGTGTCGTTCTTCAGTCTCAGCCAGCATTGGTCCTCTACCACTCGGCCGTCGACTTCCAGGGCCACGCCATAGGCGATACTCGAGGCATCACACCAGATCTTCCAGGAGTGTTCCTCGCCGCTTGGAACGCTCCAAGCACCATGAACTGGGTCTTCCTTCAGCACCCGAGCCATGACGTCACGACACAACACCTGCAACTCTTCTGGAACCGGCTCATCCCATGCATCAGTCAGACAGGCCAAACGACGGAGCCAGCTTGACATCGGCCGCAGCCAGCGACACACAGGATAATGCGCCGTCAGGGCGCCACACCAGCGAAAGATGCTACGCTTCGTCAGCACAGCAGGAATATCAATGGATGTCGGGTCACGACGATCCCATCGCAGCTGGTCTCCCTCAGCATCAATCTTCAGGCCAAGCACGCACGCCTCCTCAAGCTTCACAGGCGGCTTCGTTGGTAGACCATACCGTTGCAGAGAGGCAGCCAGCTCCTTGGTCTGATGGCGTGGTGTCAGGATGTCATCCACATAGTTGTCAGTTGCCGGAAAGTCCTTCGTAACCCACCGGACAATAGCATCCATGACTTTTGGTGCGATTGAAAGGCCGAACCCCATGCGCTGCATGACAAACTTCTGACCTTTCCAAGCCACCACCTGAAACCGCTGCAAGGCAGGCTGTACACGCACGTTCAGGAAGGCCTTCCGAATATCCAGGATATCCATAGCATCGCCGCACTGGCGCCATTTCCGAAGCTTCTCTTCACATGCTGGTGCATCCAGGCCCGGATGAGACACAATGAGACTGTTCAGCGCGCGATAATCCAGACAGGGGCGGACCGGAGTGGACACTTTGTGCTCTTGACACACTGCCAGCAGAGGCAAAACACCGCCAATCTCGCCGTGCGAGCCTTCGTCATAAGGAACTAGCCATCCTTGATCAATCCAGTTTTGGACCTCGGTGACGAACTTCACCTCCTGATCATCCGATAATCCTTGGCGGGAATACTCGCCGATGCCTGTACCGATAGGTGAACTTGGAGCAGCTCCGTCGCACCATTTCCAAGTGACTTCCCAGAAGCCTTTCTCGGGGTCGAACATCACTTCACAGTCACTCATCTCCAACGTGACCTTGTCTCCATCCTGTCGGACCTGAACGTGGCGTGGCAAGTGCTCTTCATTGCTGATCTTACTCTCGACTGCAGCCACGACTGGCCTCGTTCCGAACACAGCACCAGTTAGCTGGCCGTCACTCTCTGAATACTCCAGAGCAACACCACCGGCCGATGAGATCACGTCAAGACCAATCAGCATGTCAGAGCGAACCACGTCCAGAGAATCAACTACCAGAAACTTGGCCTTGATTTTCGGCAGGTACACATTGTTGTCATCACGGGAGACAGTCAGCTCCACAGTGCCAGTGATATCGAGTGAGTTGCCGTTAATAGCCGTGATCATGTCCTCACCCGACGGCTTGCAGACAGGCACAGACAGTGTACGCACCGCAGCAGAAGACACTAGGGAGCGACTCGAGCAAGAGTCAATGGCTGCCTTCAGCCTGGTCCGCTCTCCATTGACCGACACGAAGACTTTCGGCAGGCCACCACGACGCCTGGCAACGAGGGCAAGACATGCATCATCTTCGCACTCTGCAGCAGCGACATCTGGTGATACTGCAAATGCATTGGCACCTGCACCAGGATTCCTGCCACTCACTTGTCCTTCGGATTTGGCCTCAGGACAGTGCCTCTTGATGTGACCAAATCGCTTACATCTGAAACACTGCACCTTCTTCTTCTTGGGGCAGTCCCTCCTCAGGTGGCCAGTTTCTCCGCACAGGTAGCATACTCTGCTGTCTCCTGGCTCAGGTCCTACGGCAGACGCGCTGACACCAGGCTCATCCGCCACTGCAAGGAGAGCACGTGCTTGCTTCGTCAGCTGTGTCATCGTGGGATCCCCACTAGCCGCCGCACTGAGGCGCAGCTGATTTGCAAATCGACGAGGCAGACCTGACAAGAACTGCTCGACGAGCACCGGGTCTTTTCCATCTGCTGCTTCCTTGTGGCCACTACGCGTCAACAAAAGGCGCAAGTCAGATGCATAAACATCAACAGTTTCATCTTCCCGCTTCCGACGTCGCACAAACTGGGAGTACGCCTCCCTCGACGAGCAGGCGAACGACTCCTCAAGCCGTGCCTTCACCTTATCCTCGTCCTCCTGATCCGCAGTAGCCATTTGTCTCCACACCGTAAAGGCATCGCCAGATAGATACAGAGGCACATGCGCCATTCGCTCCTTGCCTGTGCTCCATTTCTGAATTTTTCCCACGACCTGGAACTTCTGCCAGAACTCTTCCAAGTCCTCCTGGCCACTAAATGCGCGCAACGCGCCTTCTGCTTTCGCCATCCTTAGTTCCTCCCCGCAGTCCCGGGTTTCGGCACCAGAAACTGTAGTGGAATGATGGCAAAGCCCCTGTGACCCAACCCAAGCGGCCACACAACCAAGACGTTTTATTTAGCTTACATTTGTCTACAAGGAAAAAAGAGAACTGAAAAAAAAGCCATGATCTCGGAACTACTCGTAGTAGTAGTAGTACTGCTTGACCTAAACCGGAACTAAATCG